AAAAAATAAAAAAAAAAAAAAATAAAAATAACTTTAGAAGCTGGAGAGATTGCTCTTGTAGGAGACCAAGGTTCAGTTCCCAAGCCCCATATGGTGGCTCACAACTACCTGCAACCTAGTTCCAGGAGAACCAATGCTCTCTTCTGACTTTCTCAGACTCCTACATGCATGTGAGGGTACACACACACACACACACACACACACACACACACACACACACACAAACACACACTCAGGCACATACATACATCTACATAAAATACAACTAACTAAATATTTTTTAAATTTAACAAAAGTCAGGCTGGACAATGGTGGTGTACATCTTTAATTCCAGTACTCAAGAGTCAGAGGCATGCAGAGCTCTGCAAGTTCAAGGCCAGCCTGGTCTATAGAGCTAGTTTCAGGATAGCCAGAGCTACACAGAAAAAAACTCTGGCTCAAAAAAGCAACCAACCAAATAAATGAAAACTGCCTGGGGAGCAGAGGGGACCGATGGGACTGAAGGGGTCGGGAGAAGGGACAGAGGTTGAATATGCTCCAAGTACATTACATGCTTGCATGAAAATGGCTTTATGTAATCCTGTAGGATAAAATTTTTAGTGTAAAACTTTCAAAATGTTAATATAGTCAGAGTAGTAGAGACATTATAAGAATAGCATGATATATAAAAAGCCATTAAAAACAAGAAAGAATTGTACAGAATTTAAAAACGTAATCGTCTGGGGACAGTCCAGTGGTAGAGTACTCATCTGGTATGAGGAAGGCTCTGGATTCGATCTTACATGTCAAAGGCATGTGGGAAGGACAGTGGGAAAAGAAAAGACCGTGAGAGGATCAGTCTTCTCTAAAAGGATGCTATTCTAAAAAACAGGAGATCCAGAAAGAACAGAGATAATGACTGGCAAGAGATCAGCATAATCAACAAGACGAGACTGCCAAAGCCAAGAGATCTGAGCCCCAGCTGGTCTTAAAAGTACCAGACAACGGATGAAAACAGACCAACACCTAAGCATGCCCACGAACTCCGGAGACGGGAGGAATCCGGACAAGATTTCAGAGGAGAACAGCAGTGGCCACACATGAAATTCCTTAAAAGTGGATCAGAACAGCAAAGGTACCCAGGGGAGCCAGTGTGTGAAAGGTAACCACGAACAAGACGCCAGTCTGTTTCGACAACGTCAAGTGAACTGGTAGGTAGCAGTCTACCGGTACACTTCCTGTGTACAAGGAGGAATTGACAGCAGATGGCCAATGCTTTGAAGTTAGCAATGAGTAGATTAGAAAATATTTCTTCTTAGTCGGGTGTGAGAAATGTCTTTTGCTTTCTGTCTAAGGTAGCTCGCTCACCAAGGGCCAATATTTTGCAAACCTCCACTTTTATCTCGTAGAACTTGTACGCAAATCTTTCAGCAGCTCCCTACCTGGTCAGCTGAGCCCTTACCCCTTTCCTTCATTTTCTTTGCTGGAATGCTTTTAAAACTACCCAGTCATGAAGACGGTGAGATTGGACTCCAGCCAATGGGGAAAAGGCACGGGCACTATCTAAATGAGAATAAAAGCCAAGTCAACTTCCTGCCCCTGTATGCTACCTAGCCTGGTCTGGGGTCTGGTGTACCACTTTTGTAAAAATAAATTGCCTTGCTGAGTTACTCGTGTGCTTTGTTTGTGTATTCCTCTGTTTGACACTGACGTTTTCAAGGCAGCCATGCTAAAGGTGGCTAACATGAGTGCTTCTAGCACAACTGGGCTGCCGTGGGTCCTCACAACAATCCAAATAGACAAAAGGAACTACCATATGCTCGGGTTACACTGAGTGACTTATCCAAGGTGGGGAGAGGAGCTAGACTTCAAGTCTAAAACTCATTCTTGAGTTCTTTATGCCATTGGAAAATAGTATTCATAAAGCTAGGCATGATGGCACACACAGCTTTGATCCAGCAATTAAGAGGCAGAGTCAGGCAGATCTCTGAGTTCCAGGACAACCAGCCAGAATAACATAGAGAAACCCTGTCTAGAAAAAAAAAGGGGGGGCGTGCATTTCGGTCCCATGTTAGAGAAGCCCAGTTCTGTTCTCACTGCCTGTGTTTGTTCATATGTTGGGTTTGTTTTTTTTCTCTTGCCACACTAGAGACTGACCTTAGGGCCTCCTAGGTGCTGGGTGAGCTCGCTAGCACTGAGTTTTATTTCTGTTCTCACCTACCCCTCTTTAATTAAGACAGCATATCACAGCTGGGCGGTAGTGGCATACGCCTTTAATCCCAGCACTCAGGAGACAGAGGCATATGGATCTCTGTGAGTTCAAGGCCAGGCTGGTCTACAGAGTGAGTTCCAGGAAAGGCACAAAGCTACACAGAGAAACCCTGTCTTGAAAAACAAAACAAAAACAGACAAAGGACAGCATATCACAGTTGTTGTGTCTCAGAATGGCCTATAGTGTGAGACCCTCCTGTCTCGTGCTGGCATTATTGGCATGAGCCAGCACACCTGTCTTCTCTAATTTATCGTATTTTATTAATTATTACTCGGGGAGAGAGTGGGTGGAAATCAGAGGACAACCTTCAGGAATCAGTTCTCTCCTTCCATTATGGGTCATCAGGCTTGTGTAGAAAGTGGTTTACCCACTGAGCTCTCATGCCCACCTTCACACAAACTTGTTAGAAACAGAGAAATGGGTGAATAAAAAGTATTTTATGTGCTTCTAATTTGAGAGAGAGGTCAAGAAAGGAGGAGCTCACCCTAATGTTAATATAAAATAAGATTGGTTCATCATGTTTTTAGAAAAGCATATCTTGATTAGCTGCCAGGGAACTTTATGGGAAGGAAGGCCTTGGGACTGGGATGTAGCTCGGTGGTAGGTTTCTCAGCATATGCAAAGCTCTGAGTTTGGTCCACATCATCAGGGAGGGTGTGGGATGACAAAATTGAATGCATTTTAAAAAGAAAGAAATGGAAATCTTCCAGGGTAAGGGTCCAAAAGAAAGTGGCAATGGTTTTGTTTTAATTGCTTTTCTGCTCAAATGCTCAGTGGTGTGAATGCTCAACATGTGACAGGGTCTGCATGAACTTTTATAAGTTGGCCTGGCAGCCATCTTCAGTACACAAGCCACCCCACCCCCTGCTGAATTTTCCATAGTAAGGCACTTGCATTGTTCTCAGTAAGGCCTGCAGTAACTGTAGCTCTGCTCCAGATGTTTCCTGACATCAGCATTCAAGATGTGCTGGCCAGATGTCTTTAAAATTGCAGGAACTCTGTGTTGTGTATATTAGTTATGCGAATGGAAAAGTGAGGACAAGAAGCCAACATGGAGGATAAAAAAGAACAAGGCAGAGCCGGGGCCAAGTCTCTACTGGCACATGCATTATAGGGAGAAAGCCAAGAGAGCAAGCTGTCTTTGATCAAAAACCCTCAGCAGTCTGCCATCCACACCGAGGGGCTAGTGTCCTCGGTGTCCAGGTCAGGCCCGAAGTTCTGCAACTTTCCACCTTCTATTGATGGGTGACAATAGGGAAATATCGAATATCTACAGATCTAACAGCCACCTGACCTTTGCTTTATTTTGCTAACAACAACAACAACAACATCTTCATAGATCAAAGAACAATTTCCCAAAATGTAGTCCTTAATAAGTTAATAGATTTTTTTTTTTCAAGCCAGGGTTTCTCTGTGTAGTTTTGGTGCCTATCCTGGATCTCGCTCTGTAGACCAGGCTGACCTCAAACTTATAGAGGTCTGGCTGCCTCTGCCTCCTGAGTCCTGGGATTAAAGGCGTGTGCCACCACTGCCTGGTGTTAATAGATATTTTAAGGGGGAAAAAGGGCACAACAGTCAACTAATTTCAGGAAAGCTTAAGCAAAGTTAAGCAGAGGCTGGAGAAATAGCTCAACAGTTGAGCTCTTGTTGCTCTTTCAGAGAACCCACAGTTGATTCCCAGCACCCACATGGTGTTTCACAACCTTCTATAATTCTAGTTTCAAGGGATCTGGCACCTCTTCTGATCTCCAAGGACACTAGACACAAACATGGTACACAGATATGCACATAGGTTAAACACTTATATATAATTATAATTTATTATCTATTTGTGTATATATATTAAGCAATTCTCTTTCCCAAAGCATTCTCAGAGCTTCTGCTGTTTGTGTGCACAGTGAAAAACTGATAGAAACACTTCTCAAAGGCCCCAGAGCCTGACAGAAAATTCTAGATTAGAGGCCACATAGGTTCTTAGTGCCAGTCATATACCCAAGTGAGCATCTGTGCACATCCATAGTTAAGCAGACCTGTCACTCAACTCACAGTGGCGTTTTCTTCCTGCTCAGCTTCAGCTCTATTTTCTTGGGTTATGGCAACACAGCCCACAGTCACCTAAGCTACAGTGATACACTTGTGATCATCCTCTCTTTTCATCTGGCCCTAGGCCCTCTCCATCTATTCCATTCTGTCACAAAAGGCCACTGCTCTGCCTTCTGGGTACTGTCGTGTGTCCAGATCTCTAACCTCACACCAGAATCGCAGCTGATGCTTCAGTGTTTGTATTGTGCACTAAGAACACTGGCCCTGGACATGCCACAAACTTAACTCACATTCTCCTCACCAAACACGTATCTTTTTCTCAAACTCTATTACTTACAGTGGTATACCACGATCTCAAGAAAGCCAACAGGATATGTTTTTCCCCCTTTGTTTCTTGGTTGGATGTAGTTTATTAGTTTTGTAATTATGATAAATATATGTATAACATAAAGTTTATCATCTTAATCATTTCAAAGTGTACAGTTGTAAATGGAGCCTTGTCTCCCACCCACCTATTCC